CTTCACTACCACCCCGATAACCATCGCTCTTTCGCTCTTTCGCGGTTAGCAACCTTAGGTAGGTGGGCAGTTGGGTTGCAAGGAGCAGCGATACTACCATATGCAGCCCGCCCTGTCTCGGTCTCTTTGCGGTTCAACAACTCACTTCCGTCTTCCTCGCCGTGACTCAAACTTTTTTCAAATCACCTTCTTGCACCAGCTGCTTCCTCAACGAGCATCGGCCGAGGAAATACCAACACGGCCCCGACATTTACGTGGGATCCATTCAACAAACAAGGGGTTGAGGAGGGGGGGTTCGAGAGGAGCGTGGATCACGACGGCGACGCGGGAGACGTGCCCTGTCGCGAGCTGGGCTGCGACGGCGTCGACGGCGTCGCGGATCCAGGCGCATACTTTGGGGTGGCGGTTCTGGTGTACTGGGAGGTTGTAGGCTTTGGTGGAGAGGAAGGTGGAGGGGGGGTAGATGCGGCGGTAGTAGAGGATGTTGTGGATGGCGACGGTGAGGAAGGAGTTGAAAGAGCTGAGGAGGATGTGTGAATGGTCCAGGGGGAGGGAGTCAGTCTCCTCTGGGCTGGGTTCGGGTTGTGGTGGTGGCATTGTTGTTTGGCGGAGGTAGGAACTCATTAAGTCGATTTCCCACCCTTGAGATTGTTAGTATAAAAAGACGAACCTTGTTTGGTGATATTCCTTGTTAGTGAAATCGCGGGGTTGCGAGGCTGCAAGGCGCGACTTGGCGACAGCCCTGCAACGCCAAAGCAGCTGACTTGATTTGTGACAAACCCACTTCTGGCCCGCCGGAGTTTGTTGTGTTTAATGTTAACAACCCTGCTGGCTCCTGCCACCCACCCCAAATCAACCCCGCAGCCAGCCGCAGTTCACGCCGCTAATTGCCCTGCTACGCGTCTCAAGCATAGGGCGATCACAGTGCTCCGCCTTCTTGACCGTGTCTTGAACCCCACATCACCGCTTGTTTGCCGTTTTAACTCGGGCTCTCCCGAGATCCATTCAAACCCCCCCACAACCCACTCAAACCCCCCCACAACACACACCTTGTCCTAACTCCCCTCACCACGGTCCTTTATTTTGTTGTCTTACAGAAAAAGGAACAAATCCACTACTAGGAAAAAAAGAAGCAATCAACGCTCAATATGGAACGAGCACCTAGCGCAGCTGCTCGCCTCTACCCACGACAAAAACGAAGCCCCCCGCAAGCGGGCCGAGCTCGACCTTCTGCATGCCCAGCAGAATCCCGAATTCCCCTTATCCCTTTCCCGCATTGGCGCGCATACCGGCGCCCCCGTCCAAATCCGCCAGTCGGCCCTAACATATCTGCGTAACTTCATCGAGAAGAACTGGGGCCCTGATGATACCGCCAGCGGCCCTCAGATACCCATCGATGACTCGACGAAAGACTACCTTCGCAATGTCATTCTGGAGCTAATCCTGAGCCCCGAGGACGAGCGCAAGGTCAAGGTCGCGGCCAGGTGAGCTCGGACTGGGGAAAAAAGAACCAAGGAGACCTCGGGCAAGCTAACCCTGCCGCCAGCTATGTGGTCTCCAAGATTGCCGTGGCCGACTTCCCACACCGCTGGCCCGCCCTACTCCCCTCCGTTCTCGGTATCATGCCAACCGGGACCGATGCGCAGCTCCACGGTGCTCTGCGAATTCTACAAGATCTGGTCGAGGAGAGCTTGACCGACGAGCAATTCTTCAGCGTGGCCCGGGACATCATCAAGGCCTGCTACGATGTGGCGCTGAACGAGAACCGCAAGGAGACACATCGGAGCTTGGCCGTGTTGGTTTTCCGGAGCTGCTTTGACCTAATGGACATTGTGAGGGAGGATCACAAGAAGGAAGTCAAGACCTTCGCTGAGCAGGTCCTCAGCGGCTGGTTACCATTCTTGGAGCAGGCTATTAAGACGCCCCTCCCGCCTCTTGTGGACGACAATGGGTCGCAGCCCGACAACTGGTACGGCCCGATCGCGCTCAAGGATCAAGCCGTCGAGACCTTGATCAAGATCCGGACCGTTTTCCCATCTCTCCTTCTACCGCAGATCCTCGCTCTGTTCACTGCCACCTGGGAAGAGCTCTCGAGGCTGATGCCCCCGCACCAGTCACTGTTTATCAACTCTGATGCCCAAAGCCGAACTGGAAGATATCGACGGTCTCCCTTTTTACACTCGATTTTCCTGGTCCTGGGACGACTTAGACTTTCTTAGCCAGTGCAATACGCGCACCGCCCGTGCAAAAGCAGCTCGAGGGCTGACATCGGATCCCCAGGCGCTGTTCACGATACCCCCTGGGTCTAGATCTCAGGAACCTCTTGACTTCATTTTCGCAATTACGCATGAAGAGGAGGCCTTGTGAAACATTGACGTTCTTCTCTTCCTTGTCCGACCAAAC